GTTATAAAGAATTATGTAATGCATATACTGAATTGAATGATCCAATTGTACAACGTGAAATGTTTGAATTACAAGCAAAAGTAAATATTATTTTTATTTTTATTTTTATTTTTTTGAAAGAATAAATTAGTTGGTGATGAAGAAGCTCAAACAATTGATGAAAATTATTGTAAAACACTTGAATATGGTTTACCTTCAACTGAAGGTTCGAGTATAGGAATTGATCGTTTAACAATGATTTTAACAAATAGTAAGAATATTAAAATAAGTTATATACATTTTGTCAATTTTTATTATTCATATAGATATTAATGAAATAGTGATTAAGATTTATATTAGAAGTTTTATATCTTCACTATGATTTTTTTTTTTTGGCTGAAATGATAAGAAAAAAGTGATTATTCAAAATATAGTTTAGGATATGATTTAATGGTAATGCAAATCTAATCATAAAACAAAGTTATATACTTAAGTAATGTTCTCTATAATATAATGTCTCTATAGACGAATATGACACTGCATGCACCAATAAATCGAATGATGATACTTCGATCTAAATTTTGATTCACAGATAGATCTACTTATGACTAGAATGTCTTGCAAATTTCATTCACAAAAAACATTCATTTTTCGAGAAAGTTGTGAGAAGTTCAGAGTTTTTAAAAATACAATATCTTGTGAAGGAAATATTTTTGTTTTTTTAAGATAAAATTTAATTTGTTAGTACAGATGGTGTCATAATTTAAAATTTGCAAGAAGTAACTAAAACTATGGAGACAAAGTCTAAGAACACTCGATCTTTTCGAGTGTTTCATACCTCATTAAGATCTATCTTATAAATAGAATATGAATTCAAAAATGATTTAATATTTGAAATAATTCTCTGAAGAACAACAAAGAAAATGTTATTTGAAAACCTATTTTTCAGAATTATTAAAACTTTATTGAAAATACATCATTAATAAGAAATAGTTTGAAAAAATCAAACTCGAAAAAGATTTGAGCTTTTTTGTTTTCTTAAACTTGTCCTCTGATTTGAGATCTTCAAACTCATCAATCATATCTGAAATTGATGTATGGTTACTAAAACCAGAATGAACTCTTTTGTTTATGAAGATTTTTGATTTTCTACTTAAAAATACGTTTTCTCATGAAAAAATTTAATATTTATTATATGAAAATTATTATGAAATATTAACATTATTCGTTAAAACTTTATTTTTAATCTATTTATAGTCATTTTTATAGTAAATAAAAGTGTTCAAAGGGTGACGAAACTTAATATTAAAAAATAAAACTACATATCTCTCTCTCTTTGGACTAACTATAAGTATTAAAATAATATATGCATTGCAATCTTCTCTTTATAAGATTTCAAATGATATAAGAAATTATATTTTAAGAATAACAACAAAAATAAAAAGAAATTAATATCAGTAATTAGACATCTATATATTATGTTCAGTGTGTGCATGTGTCTGTGCCGAGTCAAAGGTTAAAGGTCAAATAAGGCTATAAAGAGAAGATCCAAGGGCTATTATATGGGTACCCATAGATCCTCAAGGGCTATCCTATGGAAGTACCGATGGACCTCAGAAGCTATTATATGTAGGTACCCATATGTCCTCAAGAGCTATTATATGGGGATACTCATAGGCCCTCAAGTCCTATCCTATGGAGTACCCATAAGTCCTCAACGGCTATTATATGGGAGTATCCTTAGGTTCTGAAGGGAGTATGGCAAGAAGAGGATAATGGAATCTATCTATATATATATATTATTCAGTGTGTGTCTATGTGTCTGTCTGCGCCAGATCAAAGGTCAGATGTTAAAGGTCAAACAAAATTATAACGGGTAAGACTATAAGAGAAGAAGACTATAGAGGATAACGCCATTAGGCGGGAGCGCTATAAGGGGGTAACCCTATAAAGAGAAAAGGCTATAAACGAGTAAGGCAATAGGGAGATACGGCTATAAGAAGATGAGGCTATAAGGAGGTAAGGCCACCAGGCGGAAAGACTATGGGTGTGGGTGTGAGTGTGGGGTGTGGATGTGCATTTCGGTGAAAATCTGGCCAACACTGACAGACACCCACACCCACACCCACCCACACTCACACCTACACCTCACCCTTATTTTGTTTGTTTCCTCCTCTTTGTCGGAGAGATTTAGGTTGCTGAATTCAATTTTCTCAGGACTTCGATTTGACTTGGGCTATTCGCCTCAACTACTATTGCACTGTGGGTTCGTTTATTTCAGCGGGTAACTGTCGCATTTTCGATCTCGACATGCATATTGATAGGGTCTGATTTTCTAGGAAGTTTACGTATTCAATTGAACAAGGCTAATCAATTGACATTGAATGTCACACCAAAACGGGCCTTTGTTTTTTTGTTGTGCATATTATCTAACATTTAATGGTGATTAATTTTCTTGGTTAGTTTGAAAAGAAATAACAATGAAAGGTTGGAGAATCATCTTATCAGACTTTCAATTAGCTCCAATGTCTTTTGGACATCTTTATGATTGACATCTAGTGTTTTTAATTGAATCAATCGAGCTCGATTGGCATAATTCAAGGCTCGATCTGTTTCTCCCAATTGATGATAGATTTCTGCCAGAATATACAACGATTCTCCGCGTCGTTGATGTTCTTCAGGCAATGTCCTTTCCAAGATCTGCACTGCTTCTCGAGCAGTTCGGAGTGCCTCGGAGAGTTTCTTCTGCATTCCGAAAATCTTTGCTGTATACATCAATGACATTCCAATATATGGATGCTCTCGTGGTAAACTTTTCATGTAGATTTCAATAGCTTTCTCATAATGCTTTAATGCGAGATCACTACTTGGATTTTGAGCTCGGTAAACTTGACCAAGATTATGATGAGTTATCCCCAATTCGGAATGATCAGGAGGTAACGTCTTTTCACTCATAGTTAGATCTTTCAAGTAATAATTGATCGTTTCATTGATATGATTTAAGGCGAGATGAGCAAGACCGAGATTGCAGAATGAAACAGCAAATTCAGGATGATCAGACGGTAAACAACGTTCTTTCATCGCTAATGATTGTTGATGATAGTCTAAGGCTTTCTCGAATTCATGATGATTGTAATACGCTAATCCAATATTATTTAAACTGGTTGCGATATCCGGATGATCATGGGGAAACAGTCTCCTTTTCATTTCTAATGCACATAAATCACATTCAAGTGCTAATTCAAATTTCCCCATTCGGTCATAACACAAGCCAATATTATTCAATGCTTCGGCGACATGGACGTGATCCTTGGGCAGTGTCTTCTCACTCACTGCTAGGCATTGAAGATGATTTTCTAGAGCAAGGTCATATTTGCCCGTATTATCATAGATTAAACCGATCCCACCTAAGGTTTCACCAAGATCGGAATGTCCTTCCGGAAACAAACGTTGCTGCATAGCTAAGGCTTTTTCGTATTCGATCATCGATTGAGAATAATTGCCTTCGCGATAGAAATTCAATCCACGATAGTAAGAGATCAAGGCTAAATCGCGATTTTCCTCTTCCGAAGGAACAATCAATAATAATTTTGTCAAATAATCATCCGCTAGTTGGTATTCTCCCATTTGAATCAACAATCGAGCAAAAATAAAATCAATATTCGTTTCATTCGCTTCCATTTTCACTGAATCGATATAAGCTTGAAGAACACTCGTTCCTTCATCCGTCGTGATCAGATAGACATTCCACTTCCTATCGATATCATCGTATCGAACATCAACGATTTTGAAAACCGATGCTAGATCAAAGAGAACCTCATCTTCTTCTGGCCAAATACTCATCGGTGCGACATGAGCAAAACATCCGTAAGATAAATCAAATGTTGTTTCAATGATAAACACAACCTCTTTCGAAAATGAATCAGCCACTGCTTTTTTCCGACTAGTGGATAAAAATCCATTTAGAGAGACCAGTTGACCTTTTTTCTCATGGAAAAGATGAATTTCTTCTTCGGATATGGTTCGACCATGATAAACCGTCCATTGAGAGAGTGGTTGGTCGAATTCGATTAACAACTGTTTATATTCCTCATATTCTCGGTGTAATTGTTCGGAAAGATCGGCGATATAGGCGCGACAGATGTAAAGTGCACGGAAATCTTCGGTTCTTAGGGCTTTATTGATCAATTTTGAGACAAAGGAAGGTGTTGTATACCAATAAATGGCCTTTTCCTTGCTATAATCTCGTTCGAACTCATCGATTTTCTTTAATTCTTCTTGATTATCTTTGTAATAATCACGACACTTGGCTAACATTTCATCCATGGTTCGACGTGGATGATGCACTTTTTGTAAGACATTTGTTAATAATTTTAACCAGAGAAAATACGTATCTGCTTTGGAGATATCACGCATGGAATATTGCTTATTTTCATCGAATATTGTATAAGTTAGATGAGAAAAGGGCCAAGATTGATCACATTTACGTAATTTCTTCAATTTTTCTATATCAAAAATATTGATCATAGGGCCTTCCTTCTCCATCGATCGAAGATACATTTGCAAATACATGGCCAACTCATGATAGGTATTGAAAACATCTTGAATTTTCTTGTATCGTTTTTTCATGAAATTATATCTAGCTTTATCCAAACAGAAGACCATGATTGAATCCAATTGATCGATATTGTGAATCAGAGGAATCACCGATACACCTAATGAACCCGAGGTGATTAAACAGATCGGTTGTTGTGGATGTTTTAATGAGGTTAAATATTCAACGCATTCATTGGTGGATGTCATGGTTAGAATATGCCGATGACACAATTTCTTCATTGCATCTAATATGGTCGAGTCATGAGTTTGATCGAGCCAAACGAGAGTAAGTCGATTCTACAAGATTGATCGGATGAAATTCAGAGATATCCAACGTCAATCTACTTACCCGTTGACGAAAGATCAGTGTGAAGACGCAGTAGAGAAAGAAAATGATCCAATAGATGGCCAGAAGTGAACAGATAATATAGGCTTCCATGAGTCTGTTTCTGAGTAGTGATTGAATACTGCCTGTTTGCATACTCTGTTTCCTAGTTGGATTTTTCCAACTAAGGAGAAGAAAAGAATGACGCTGATCGATATGTCAGCCATGATTCATTTGAAAGAAACTAGCCTAATAACAAATCAATTTGCATTTCTTTTTCGTTTAATGTTGACTCACTTCTCTTCTTATGTTTGTGATTCTGCTGTGAAAGAACGAAAAAAATGGAACGCAGTGGTTGCTTGTCAATGTAGAACACAAAAGGTGATCAGCATAGAAGAATCGAGAAAAAGGCAGCAATAATTTATGCAAACGGAGCACTCTAAAATCATGAGGACAATTATTGTGCTCTCCATTGATATAGCGATGTTCATGTCCAGAACGTTGTCCAATATAATCAAATAAAGGCATTATGCCACATTCTTCTATTCGTTGAGCATATTGACAAAGACTCGATATCGGCATTCTCAGAGGTCCAACATGAATATTGTACAATTGAACAAATATTCTTCCGTGAAGCATAGTTCGAGCAAACTGAAGCTTTATCCAACGCAAGACTGTTATTTTACCACTACCTGGATAATCGGGCACTACCATCCTACAATTATCGCTTATAGCGGAAGTGGGTGAGTATGGGCATGGGTGTGAGTGTGGGCGGGTGTGGGTGATGGTGTGGATGAGTGTATGTGTGGGTGTGACTCTTCTCTTGTATAACACCTACACCCACGCCCCGATTTCTGACAATATTTTGTAAATAATCTTGTCAGTGGTGAAAAGTTGAATTGGGCCAACTTTTGCACCAGCTCAACCAAATTAGCTAAAAATTTGGATTTAGAGGTTTTAGATGACGCTAAACAAGATGGAAATATCAAATTGGAAAACTAAATTTTGACGAGTGCTTCGATATCTAGCACGATGCTCGATGGTCTCATGGATGCTCTCTTAAAGGATCTAATTAATTATTAGTTGCTTTGACTTTCAAAAACTACTCATATGTGGGCGAAGAATGAGAAAACATTTTTTTAAGAGGACCTTCCGTCATGAATTAACGTGAAAATGGACCAAGAAAGTTGGATTTCTAATGTGAATTCCGCGTTTCAGTATCAATCGTGTCCTATCTGAATCAATTTATAATGAAGGAATTGTGTTGCGCAGCTTATTTCTTCTGAGAACAATATCAATCATGACAAACAAAATTTTTCGCCCGTTCTCTAAATGTTGATGCTAACATATGATGACATTCTCTTACAAGTATTTCTTCTCTTGAAATCATATCTCAGTTTGCATAGTGCAAATATAAAGAAGTCACGATGTGTATCTTCTTTTCTTTTTTTCCATGCCCATATATCTGTCTAGCATACACAAAATGAAAGGTTCGTTTTATTCTATCACTTGAAGACGAGAATACATGCATTTTAGTAGTATTTTAGCGAGACAAATTACCCATGTCCTGAAAATCGCTGAAAAATTGGCGATTAATCGTGATATATCGAAACGATAATTGTGAGCTGAAACGCGATTAATCGCCGATTTTTAATGATATTTTTAGTGATTATTACGATA